TCCGCTAGGTTTTCGAATGGTTGGATTTGTGGTGTGAACATGTACGGTCCTGCACATGGCTGAGCTTGCATCCATCGAATCGAAGCAGCTATCTCAACGTCCTCACCAGCTGGCCTTCGCATGTTCGTGACCTTAAGCAGGAACTATTGACCTTAGGCGGTTTGTTGTGAATAGATCCCTGCCGGCAGAATAGTCTGTGGTTGGAAACAGAAGAACGAAGCGGACATTTTCAATGATGGCTTCATGGATATCATGGACCCATTGGATTTGCCTTCTAATTGAAAATCCCAGCACATTCCCGACGTATGTCCTCTCCAAAACTCCCTGTCCAAAAAAAAACGGTACATAGCATCCAGCAAATCATCGAAGGCGTGCTTCAACTATGCTACAGCTACGTCAAACACCTGCAAACCGCTTTGGGCTCCTGTTGTTTTTGCCCAGGCACAGCCGGCAGTTCCAAGCCTGCAGGCACCGCCAAGGGGACAGCACAAGGGCAGCAAGCACCGTTGAGTAGTGACCAGGTGCGGATACTTCATCTGTAAGTCTGATGTTGAGTTTGAGTTGTATTCACATTGTTCAATTAACAGTCTACTGATGTATGGATGAACTAGCAGCATGAGATGGACGGCGCCAGTTAGTCCATTAGACCCTGTCCGGTATAAGCCACTGACCACCATTCACCACCAAGCACCGCCGAGCACGTACTAGATGGCTGGGGAATTATTTGTGTGCCCAGCCAGCTTGGGTTTTTGGGGAACAGCTTGCAACCTCTGCTACACCAGGAGAAGGCCTTCCAGCCACAGCGGCGGCCCCGATTGCAGTCGGCCCCGATTGCTCCGCTGGCAACTTGGAGACAGGTGCAAAACGGCCATTCTGTGCGTTTTGAAGCACATGCAGGGACAAGCACAAGCATGCACTATTGCCACAAATCATGCCAAAGTCTCCCAATCCAAATGTGAACCTGCCGAGACAGAAGAGATCCCCTGTTGGATGTTATCTTCAGGGCATCCGAAAAGGAACCCACTTTCTGGGGGCCATGTTTTTTGGATACACCTAGCCCTTCCTTCAGTGCAGTTCCGATTTCAGGCAGGAGCTGGACTTTGCTGCAAAGCTACAGCAGCCGGGACTTCAGCGTATGGGCCATGGAACCTACTTGGGTGTCGTTTTTTTGGTGTACCCCCTTTTAGATTTGTTTTGAAGAGACACCAAAATGAACTGACCATGTTGGGGGTTCCCCCATTTTGCCAGAAACCCACTTGGGCGTACCCTTTTTTGGGGGAAAAACCAAACGGAATAAAGCACACCTGACCCGAACAAATGGCGCCAATGTGTTTCTAGGACGAACCATCTCTTCAGAGTCTGTGGCCTCTTGGGGTTCGCCCTACTTATTTGGAAGCAGCCTGGAAGCACGTTGACATGAATATGCTGAGCACACTCGGCCCAAACAAAAGGGCGCATGAACATCCGAACAGCTGACCCCGGTCTACGCAGATCGTGATAACACTGTGTCTCAGACTTGTTTCGGACAGGCGTCAGACCCACCAAGTGACCGAGGCTTGGGTGGAGAAACTAACGAATCCAAGCAAGCTTACGAAGCAAGTATGTGAAGGCCACGTGCGCAGCTCCATGTGAACAGCCCGGCGTTCCAGGTGCGCCAAAATTGTCCTTTTTGCCGCACACCTGACCCGGGCAAATGGTGTGTGTTTCTAGGACGAACCCTCTCTTGAGAAGTTGTAGCCTCTTGGGGCTCGCCCTACTTATTTGGATGCAACCTGGAAGCATGTGACATGCAAAAACTGCCCGCGAGCGAGACTGGCGCGGGGGACGTTTGTGATAGGCGGAAACTGGGCGCGAGCTTGCGCGGGGGACGCTTTGTGAGGCGCAGACTGGGAATCTAGAATGATGGGCCGGAGCAGCTGTGTTAAGGGGAGATTTGGTGGTTCTAGAGTCCCTGTTTTTTTTCGACAAAAAGGGGGACTCTAGAATGATGGAATCTGGGGTTTCAGGGCTGGAGCGGCAGTGTTAAGGGGAGATTTGGCGGTTCTAGAGTCCTAGTTTTTTGTTTGAAAAAAGGGGGCTGTAGAATGATGGAATCTGTCGCTGTAGGGCCAGAGCAGCAGTGTTAAGGGGAGATTTTGCGGCTCTAGAACCCCTGTTTTTTTTTTAGGGGGGAGGCTCTAGAATGATAGCACTTGGTGTTCCAGAGCCTGGCGGTTCAATTGAAGTGCCAGAAGGGCAAGTGGTTGTCGAAGCGCAAGTGCATGATGACAATTAAGAAGCTGAGGGGGAACGGGGCGTGCGCAACTAAAAACATGTGGCGCATATACTGCGGCTTTCAGAGACTCGCGACGATGCCTGACCAGGACAAGTACTGCGAAGTTGGGCCGGGAGCAAGAAGGTATGCCAACCTTTACAACCGGTTTCCTGTCAAATTCCAAGACTCAGCAGCCTCGAAGCGCATCTCATGTCGCAGCTGCGCTCGGATCTGAAACGTGCCCTGCAGGCTCGTCTCAAAGGTGCGACGGCCGACTCAGAGAAGCGCATGTGCCGGCACCTCCTTGAGGACTACACTGACACCCTTGAAGGCTGCCAATTCTGGGCGTGCGAGAGCTGGAAGGCTGTCAACTTTTGGGTGACTAGGCACCCCCGATATTTGCGGGCGGGCTCGCAAGATGCGGACGACCCAGATGAGGCCGAGGCCGCAGTGCCACAAGATGGCGACAGCGACACCGATGCGAGCTGAACAAAAAACCGCATGTCAACGTGCTTCCAGGTTGCTTCCAAATAAGTAGGGCGAACCCCAAGAGGCTACAGATTCTGAAGAGAGGGTTCGTCCTAGAAACACATTGCCACCATTTGTTCGGGTCAGGTGTGCGGCAAAAAGGGCAATTTTGGGCAATGCGAACATATAGCGCACCTGCCCGCGCATACCTGCACAGTGGCACGCGCGCGCGCGCGCAAACGGTGCGTAACTAAAATGAAAACTTGGCAGCAGGGAAGGAAGGAAGGAAAGTGCCCGCCATAGGTCTAAGTCGCCTGCGCACGCCTGCAGTTTGCCCTCGACCAACCGCTTCCATGTGACATAGAAGCAGATTGTCCGCGAATGGGAGGCAGGGCGACAAAAAGGGACAAGCAGCCCTTTGTTTCACGTGGTTGCCGGGCAATGCTAACGCATACCTGCACATTGGCACGCGCGTGCGCGCAAACGGTGCATAACTTAAATGAAAACTTGGCGGCAGGGAAGGAAGGAAGGTGCCCGCCATAGGACTAAGTAGCCTGCGCACACCTGCATTTTGCCCTCGTACAACCGCTTCGATGCGAGATAAAAGCAGACTTGGCGGCAGGGAAGGAAGGAAGGAAGGAAAGAAGGTGCCTGCCTTAGGACAAACTAGCCGTAAACACAGGGCTTTCACCCCTTTCATACGTGTTGGAAGTCGGTCTTGCGCGACACGGTGTAAGAATCAGGCGTGCGTGCGCGCGCCATGGCTTTGCAGCACGGATTTCGCCCATGCAAATAAGCTCGAGGTGGAATACCTGACCGCTCACTGAAGCTGGCGCTTGAGGCATCCGAAGGTGCTCCATCAGAATGGTGGGTGTCAAATAGCTCCCAGTGAACATGTGTTCTTTCATGGATTCGCGAGGGGTAAACCCGGGATTTTCATTGGCAGTTGTTGTTGGGATCGTTAGGTCACCCAACAATGGGGCACTGAATAAATAGAATTTGCCAAGCCAACATCGTTGTGCTAAGTAGGGTGATTTGTTGAGCTGTTGCCATTTTTCCAACATTGCACGTGGATAGAGGGACCTTTTTAGCTTGACGTATATTTGTCCAACATCCTCCTGTGCATTTCCATGATTCTTCGAAAGGGGGTAGGGTCACTTTGTTATGCTGCCCTGTTGGTTTTGACGGAGCCATGACTGCACTGTACGCATTTAGCGGAACATCTTTAAATGCCTGTTTATGATCCCTGTTAGGTGTTGTCAAGGGAAATGGTCATGACGGGTATCCCGACCCCCCCCCGTTCATCAGCCAGCACAATCTTGAGCGGTAGCTCTCTTCCCCAGCTCCCGGACTTTAGCCACTTTTAGGGAACACGGTGCTGGTGCACAACAAGTGTTTCGAATTTCTTGATCGATCCACTCTGGCGTTCGGGATGCCTCAGTTCTTTGGTGTAGCAGTCACTGGTTCTTCTTTGTTGCCTCCAAGATGTTGGAGTTTCAGTCTGGGCCAAAAACACGTCTGGGCCACAAACACGAGCTCAGATGGGTGTAGAGCGAGCTTATGCCTTGCTTCCAATTTGGGAGTGGTAGTTTGTTCGGATCCATTTTTGGATTTCTGCGATTGGTTCTTCATGATGAATCAGATGACTTTGTGCCTTCCATGTAGTGCGGGGCCTGTCATGTTTCACCTGTGCCTTTGCCTTTTTCTCTGTGCTTGGTCAGAGCACAGGCTGCTGGCTGCCAATCCGGCTTGAGTCGCGGTTGCTCCCCTTCTTCATCTGTTTTGGGGTTGATTTCCCAACTGTGAACAACTTAAATCTTGGTTTGCCTTCGGACCCTTGAGCCGGAAAACAACGGGATCCACATGCCATGGGGAGTGAGGCTGGTTTGCTTTTGGGTTCCCGGGCTCCTCTTGTTTGGAGGAAAAACCAAACGGAATAAAGCAAACCCTGGGCTCGAGTTTGGGGTCCGTAAGCACATGTTCTTTCCTTGGGCCTCAACGCTTTCAAAGGAACTACTCTCTGCGCGGCAACTGCAAATGTAGAACTCGTTGACACGCGTGAACACAACGCCAGGCACATTGGGGCTAGCGTTAAAGTGAAGGGGTGGCTGAACGCTATACCATCATTCTGCCACACAGGATATTTGCAGGTGTCAATACGTTGTAGGCTCAATGAAGATTGCAATTCAGCTTGTGTGACAAGTTCTATTGAATGGTCAGGGCGGCTGTTTTCTTTTCAGCTTGCCTGTTTCTGGCTTATGGCTGGTGAATCTCGCCACTGCGTTACGAGGCTTGGCAAGTCGAGCATGGGTTGCAGTCAGCACTGCGAGGATCAGTCACCATGCACGTGTATCATGGAATGCAAGCTCTGCCCCCTGTCCCAGGACTCTGTGGGAAGGGGAAGGCCTTACTCAGGCCTTACCAACGGGAATCATGGGGGATGCCCTTGGATAAGGAGTGGCTCTTTGAGTTATATAGCCCCATCCTCGCACGAGCTTGCATACAGATCCACCGCCCCTTCATTCCAGGCACATGGGAATTTGCACGAAATTTGTGTGTCTTCTTTTTGAGGGTACTCCTTTCGTGTGGTTCTAAAAGGGAAACTGAAAGCAACACCACCTTTCGAGGCTTGAAGATGACACGCCCCTGCCAAAGAAAACGGAGGCGTGTCTCAATGACCGAGGTTCACCTTCGGCCTGTCGTGATTGGCGGATCCGGACGCCTGTTTCGCACGGCGCCTTTAAGGCGTGGTTTACGTGAGTTCCTGCGAGAAGGGCTCCAGTCGGCATCCCTCAAGCTACGGATCCATTTGCTTTATTAAGTTTTTTGTTTTTTCCCTGTTGGTTTGAAGGAGTTTTGTCACTACTGGTTCACTGTATGTTTGTCGTTTTTCGTTTTTCCCCTTGCAAGGAACTGAAGCAAATGGTTAGATTCGCTAGCGCAAAAAACTTAAAATTGCTCCTTTGATTTCCATGCGCCACCACACAAAGCATGTGTTCAACCTTTTATGGACCTACACAGGAAGTCACCCCTCTTTTTAGGTTCCCCTATTTTGAGACACCCCCATGTAGCACCCTGTAATTGAGGATCTCAGATACTAGCGCCGGATTCTTAAGGTGTAGTCAACATGTTGGAGCATTACCGATAGTTGTTTACTGCTGATGTGTACACTTTCTTGCAGAGTCCAACATGAATTTGATGAACGGGATCTATTTGCAGAGAGGAATGTATCGCTGGCTGCTCATTTCCCACAGCTAGATACCGCCTCAAGCTGCGCTCCGATGCGTCAGATGGAGCCAAAGTACAGCTTGAGTTCGAGGAAAAGCAGGTGAACAGACGGAAGCGCTCGCGTGCACGGATCCGTCAGAGATGCTCTTTGCTTGGATCCCTCAAGGTCGGGGACATGTTCAGCTAGACGTGTCACACAAGTTTCCTGAAGCAGTTGCGTTTGGCAAGCGTTACAGCCACGTTCAGTTTTGATCCTTCAATATTGGCTCTTCCTCACACGGCATTGAAATGCAAAGTGTCGGATTGTTCACCCGCTTACAGGAGGCATGAGAGAAACTTGAAGTAGTTTTGTGGATATTGTGGACGTGTTCCGCTCAAGCTGTTTGGAATGTGTTTCTCCACGCGAACTTGATCATGAGTGAAACATGCAAGGACCCCTGTTTTATTGGGGGACAAGGTATACTAAGTGAATTTGTTTGTTGCAATATGTGCATGTCATATTTATATGTTGATGTGCATCACAGTCCATCGCTTTCGTTCAGAAGGCTAGGTGAGCTGCGATTTGCCGCTGTCAGCTGCTCGAGGAGCAACTTGTAGATGTGCAATGAGATATCGATAACCGCCCCCCCCCCCCCCCCCGCGAGCGTACCGCAGAAGAGCCAAGGTCCTGCCAGAGCTCTATTACATTGATGGAGTTGGACGATGAGCGATACTCAACATCCTACAGCGCGCACTTCCACCCAAGACAAGCTCCAAAGAGATTTACTGGAAGTGCAAAGGTAAGAGGGACATTTTCCATCAGAGTATCCAGGCACATGCTTAGAGGCAGAAAGAGCCTAGCATGATGGTTTACCAAAGGTAAACTGTCCAAAAGGATGAAGGCCATTGCTGCGAAGGCCCGGGAGAGCTGCACATACTCAAGACCAGCACCAGTTCGAATCGCAGAGCCCATGTGCTGGAAATGCTGAACATGATCTGCTTGTTTGAAAAAAACTTTTTCTTATTCTCCCGTCGTTTTCAACTTACTCGCCCATAGCGGCATTTATTTCGTCTTGTGTCATGTGCTACTCAAGGCAATGACAGTCTTCTAGTTTCGTCCATGTCATTAGCGTTCGTATGTGTAACCTTGAGCGAGTGTTCTGGACATTGATGCCCCGCGGCTTGTGCGCCAGCCCTAACCAGACGGCAGGAGCAAAAGGGCGGATTGCTGGTTAGTAGCAACGCCCTCCCACTGACGGTTAGTGTCCCGCGCAAAGACGAGGCGATAGATTGGCCCACTGCATTTAAGTGGGGCATGATGAACTCTCAAAAGCGACTGGCAGGCACGTAGCAAAAAAGAGGGTTGTGCAAACAGATACAGCGAATTCTGTGGGCATTTAAACAAGCGCAAACCCTGTGAGTGTGGCTTAACATGGAACCTTTTTGTTAGAATGCAACAGCAATAGTAAGCTGAAAAGAACCACTCCTGCCCAGTCTTGAGACGAACCAAACTGCCACGGTACCGCTAATCTTGTCTTGTCGCCAAATGCAGCCATTGTAATTGTTGTCACAGAGAGACGCGTTCCAATTTTGAGACAAGCCATGTTTGCCATTTTCAAAACAACTAGGTGCTGGGGATCATAAGGAACGGTCATCCGTCCTTGAGCCATTAATTTCGAATATCTTTAGGGAAGTGCGACATGAAGGACTTTGAACCATTTGGGTGCAACCCTGCAGAAATGAGGTCTTCAAAATCAGTGATCTTGGACCCTAAACCCAAGATCCCTAACAACACCAAGAAAGCAGCCAAGCAATCAAAAGATCCTCACCATGTCAGTGTGTTGTTCTTTGGATGGTACCCTTATTGGGTTGATTATCGATTAAAGAAACGAAGCCACAGAGAATCTAAGCATTGTTGGGGCACCCTGAAAGAAGATCCACACTCATGTGGCTGTGGGTCAAAACCAATGGTACCATTTTGGGATAGGTGCACCACCCATTTTAGTCTATTTTAGTTGGGATTGACATGTTCACTGGGGGTACGGGGTTTTGACCCATGGCCATGTTCCCTTTTCCGGGAAGCCAGGGGCTCATGACAGGTCTCCACTGGGAGCCAACTCCTAAAGGACTTGGCCCACAAGAAGGTCACTCTCCGCAGCGGCCCCGGGTGAAACCTTTGCTCCAAGTGTTGGACCGGGCCCCAAGACTAGCTTGTTGGTTTTCCTTTCAATGGTTTTTTCCAGGAAATCCACAAAAAGGGTGCCAACTCCAAAAAAGACACTCAAGTGCTCCAAGTGGCATTTTGGATGAGGGCTTTTGGGTTTTGGCAATATGTTTGAGCCTGCGAAGCACGGCGTGCTCGACCATTTGATGTCACTATCTTTTCCTATTGGCTGGTGGAAAACAGTGGGATACACGTGCGTGGCCCTCACAAGGACCGCTAGATGATTCTTTGGGAAACCGAATTTCTGGGCTTGCCATAGAGGAATCACAGAAGCGAACTTGACATTAGCCAACGCTTTCGTGGTTGGGTGAAAGAGGGTGACATGGTTCGACTGGTAACAAACCGGATCCTTTACGTGCTACCTGTTTGTGGTATTGCATGTGCCCTGACTTTCTCGATAGTACGACGCTGGTCGTTTCCGCTGTGTTTTGCGAACAATGGTGCAATATTCATCCAAGGCATTTCTGTAAAAGCTTTTGTTTACATTAAATTATCATTTATATGTTTGCGCATGGCTCTGAAAGTTTCAATGAATGAGCTCTCAATATATATATATATAGTGGGCGTCAGCATGCCAGAACACTAAATGTCAGATGTCCCGTTTACCGGGCAGGCTTGGCAGGCTTGGCAGGCTTGGCATCTTCAAACCTCCACCCAATCGGTGAACCGCGATTTCCGTTTTCAGCCGGGCTTCAGTTCCCAAACGGGAACCCGAGATCCCGAGTCCGAGTCCGAGATCCCATGAAGCGCCTGAACTGGGGCCCCGACTCCTTGGCCTGCAGCTGTCCCTGCGGCGCCTGGATCTGCTGGCTGGGCTGCGCCAAGCTCCCTCGAGCGCTTGCTCAGGGCGTTTCTCCCGTACCAAAGTCGAAGGCGGGGGATGCGAAGACACATACCCATGTCAGGGATGGTCATATCAAACATATCAAACATGTTATCTCCAAGTTTCTCCCAAATGCCAGTGTTGAGTGGGGTGACAGCAAATTTTGACCCTGGCTGTAGCAACCCCTGAAAGAAAACGGGCGAGTTGCAGCTGTGGTACTTGGTGCTGGCGTATGATGGCACGGATTTCGCGGGCTGGCAGCGACAAGCCGAGGCAATCAGATCGCCGGAAAGCGCATGAGTTTGTCTAAAGATTAGAAGACCCCCAGAACTGTTGGTTTCCTGTTGGTCTCCCTTTGAACATCCAGGGGTTCCCCTCGAACAGGATAATGTCTGTTGTTTTCAAGTGTGCCAAGTTGAATGCCCTCCTGCTTCACTACCAATATGTAAAAGTGAGCTCATGAGGCATGCGCCATTTCAGATGTTGCAATTTGTTTGGGCAAAGCCTGCTCCCTGAAGGGTGTTCGCACATTGCAGGGAGAAGTCGAGAAGGCACTCTCCTTGGTTTTCCGTGCGGAGATTCGCACAGTGGGTGCATCTCGCACGGACACCGGCGTGCACGCGCTTGGCATCTTGGCATACGGCTCAATGTGATTCTCCCTAAGCATGCTTTTCTTAATCATATGGGCCTTCAGACTAGAATGGTGTTTGTCTTCATGAGGGAAAACGGCCCTGACTTCACAAGTGCAGATTGCTGTATTCTGCCATCAATCAGGATACTAGGCGAGGTGCGGGTGCCCGTGGTGCAGAATCTGTTAAAGGATGTGTTTCGACACTCTGCGTCGCAACACCTTTTGGGCCACCAACTGACATCAGCATAATTTGAGTGAGATGTAGTTTTGCTGAAACCTGTGGATGCCGGTTTGGAACTCATTGTAGAGGATCGTTTGGCTTATTTCGGGTCCATATTGCCACCACCGAAGGACTGTGAACAAATATTCCAAAATCGGATCTGGGAACAGTTGGCGATTCGCCTGTACCCATTTCACCTCTGGCTACATATAGCAATATAGCCAAACCATCTTGCTAGAGCCAACATTAATGCTTTGTTTTTGCAGGACACCCTTTCCCTTCGCTTACTTCGAATGGAACCCACCCGATGACTTTCAAAAGTCAATCTTTATTAGCCATCTTAACAAATAATGCTGTTGCAACCATCTTTGTACACCATTTATTGCAACTATCTTTGCCTTTCTAGTGCTTCCAGCTACCTCTATAGCAGGTAACCAGGTAGTGTTACCTCTAGGTGCTACGTTGGTTTCTTATGGGTTACTACCCAGAGGGTCCAAGTACCTCCTGAGGATGGCCTCGGGTAAAAAGGGGTCCAAGTACCTCCTTAGGTACTTGAACCCTCTGGGCTATACGGGTCACTGGCAGCACTCGTTGCAGCCGTCGCGTCGTGCGCCGTAGGTCAGGTGTGCCACTTCGAGGCCCCGATCGCGTGGGGCGACGGACATTCGGCCGAACACGGGGCGCTGGAGCCCAAGGTGGCACTGCGGCGCCTGAGGCTTCGGGTCCGAATCGTTTTTTGTTGTTTTCTTCTTCTTGTTTTTCTTCTTTTGTTTAATATATACATATATATATATATTTCCGGGTGGTGTGGTTTCGCACGTACCACCGGGGTACAACTGCTTGTTCCAATGTCGCCCAAAATTCAAAGTGCTGTCCAAGTTGTTAAGTTGTTAGGGGGGTGGAGGAGTTTGAGTTCTCAAAATTGCCTCCTGGTTTCCCTAAGCAACATTCGGGGCTTCAACCTACCACTTACGTTACTTTGGTAAATCACCGATTAGAGGGCAATTTTGAGGATTTCGCTTCAACGGGCCCAAGGCTGACGCTGCCGACGTCACTCTTCGCGCGGCAGTTGGGCGGCGTGGAGTCGGGCTTCCACGCGCGGCTGAGCGCGGTGAGGCAAACATGGGGCTGAGGGCAGGGTGTGCGGCACGGTCAACACACCCATTTGCTGGCGGTTGCCCGACGTACGATGAACTCTTTGGGTTTGCAGGCAATAATTGAGAACACACATATTGTAATGGCTCCTGTTGAAGAGAATCATGGCTAACACAGGGAGTTTTGCCCATAACTCATACAGGGGTTGTCTCAAAATGAGGAACCCGTTCTTGGATAGGTGGAAAGGGAATCCCAAAAGAAAGCAGCCTCCTGCTTGCGCCCCTTTTGCGAGACCCATATTTCCTTTCAAGCCACTTCAGCCTCACTTTTGGCTCGTGCAAGTTGCCTTTGTTTGGAATGCTGACTGGATTGACGTTATTTTTTGAAATAGAAATAAATATTCACAACACTACAACAATGATACCAAAATCAAGTATATTCAACAATATCAAATCCGACAGAATGTCAGTGTCAAGAGACAAATTGGAAAGTACTGTTGTTGTGTGCTCAGTAATTTAGTGATGTGTTGCATTGTTATCGATATTGTGTTGATGCAGGTACGATAATGATTTTGGCATTCAAGTTGCAACATCAGACTGAAATATGCATTTCATTATTCAAAAGGTATAATACGCTGTTCGTGGTGTCATCGTACAACATGCAGCTAAGATTGTTGCAGAGTTAAAGCACAATCAGCAAGTTGTGGAGATATAGTCAGACAACAATATTCGTAATGATGACATAGATGATGGGGCAGAGGGACGGTGGGTTGCAGTGTGTGAGCAGGAAGCGCTACGTGTACCGTCTCTCCGTGACCAGCGATGTGTTGCCCTTCGAGGCGCGAACAAGCCACTGAGTATGGAGATCCTGAAAAACATGTATCCCCACAAATCCCTCAGGTCCAGCAAACAGAATCAACCGCTGAGTGTGATATTACCTTTAGCTGGTGAATTGATTGGATTAGTTTGGGGAGTTCAATCTGAGAATATGGGTATGGTTTTCTTTTTTGGGATCCCTTATCATTGGTGGTGTCCTTTTGGTTTCCCCTTCAAACCACCATTCTGGGGCCATGTCATGGTCTCTGATCGACAAGCCGCAAGGTCAAAAGACCCCTTTACTTGTGGTTAACGGGGCTGGTCATCCACCTGGTAGTAAGGATCCTTAACAACCATTTTGATGATTTCTATTCAGGGGACAATGAACATGGGCTTTATAAGGAGTCTTGACCACTCATATGGACCAGATTCACTCTCGTAGGCACGGAGGTCTTGGCTTTGCGGCGCCTTAGACCTGACTGCCACGCGTGAAGCCGTGAACGCCCTCAGCGGCCGAGAGATGGACTACTCCGCCTTCACCACAGGCCGAAAGGGCGCCGGACGCTTCGGATTTGGTGGGTGATGTTTTCTTTAAGGGGCCGGAAAGGAAAAGAAAAGTGGCGTCCATTAGCCAGCACAAAAACACTGTAAACATCCAACCACTGGTGGGTATTTGGAGTTGGTGTTTATTTTTGGGTGGTTTTACAGGAAAACCAAAACGACAACAGCAGCAAATTTGGGGTCCAAATCCTCGAAAAGGCAA